GATGCTAAAGCGTTAATTTTGCTCTTTAGATCATTACTTTCTTGTTTTGTTTCATTTATTTTCAATTCACATATACGTTTCGTTAGTATCGTAAGTTTTTAAAATATGGAGTTATACATTACTTAAACTATAAAAGTAAACTTTGGTTAAGGCAAGTCGGTTTTTCTTATACAATATCATATAAATATTCGCTTCACAAGAGGATAGGTTTTACCTTTGTATTGGAGTGGTTTTATTAAGTAATTATACGTGTAGATACATGAATCGTTGTTATAAAAATTACACCTACATTGAACTCTCAGAAATATTGAATTGCTTTCTCCTTGACCTTCGGTGTTGGTCGCTAGGCAAGTGTAACGTCCTCTACTGGATCGCTCAACTTTCTGGAGAACTAAGGACTGGTTGCTGATGATCACACCTGCGGATGTATTGGTCTGAAGTTCACGGCCTTCAAAACGCCAACTTATATCTCTTGCTGAAGGATACGCCCGAACATTGCATTCGAAGTAAACATCATAACCTTCCTGAATATGGCTGTGACGAAGTTTACTTCCAAGACGAAGTGACATTTGTGGAATGACTGCATGTTTACGATATAAACATTGATAAATTAATATATATATATATATATATATATGAAAAAACTGATCGAATACTTACATCAAACAATTTACGAAATGACTTTGTTTGTTTTTTAGAAGTTAAGCACAAAGCTACACAATGGGTTATCTGTGTTCTGCCCATCACGGGTATCGAAACCCGGTTTCTAGCTTTGTAAGTCCACAGAAATACCGCTGTGCCGCTTACGAAGTGAGAAGAAAAACACTTTTACATAGAACATTCTTAGGAATCGGGATTAGATTTAAGATTTGGTTCTCTAAGGAAGCTAAAAGTGAAATACACTAACTTATATCACAATTGTAGAAAGTTGTTTTTAAAGTCCGAATAACTATTATATATTATATATGCTAACTTGGTTAAACATTTATATTTTACACTATTGAAACATGTATTATCACTTTTTAAATACGAACAAAACTAATTTCTTTTAACTAAATACAGACAAACATATATGTATACATGTATTTACAGGGAAAGATCTTGATATAATGATTAATTAATGTATTTTTTTTCTTGTGGAGTATTCTTTGGACTTATGAAGTCACCTGGCAATAGACAAATCAGATTCAATAAGTGAAGCGTTTGCTGTGAAATAGTGGCATGTATTTTTGGCGCATTAATTTTGTGCAAGTGATTTCGTTTTTATTCATCATATGAAGAGTGTCCAACACTTTGTTTTACCTAGATATAAAGCTACTTACGTTTAAATCATACATAAGCCTAAGTGTCGTGCAATAAAGAAAATGGATTGTAAATATATTCTGTTTTTTTATGTATTTCAACACTCAGAATAGATAGACATTTGTAATTACAAAATAGCAGATATATTTACAATGAACGTCTAGCTTCCAGCCATCTTCAATAGCACTTCCTGGAATTAAGGGATTTTCTGCTCGACAGGACAAGTATTTGCCATTGTCATCACTGGTAGGCTTGATGGTTAGGACACTAATACTTAAGTTTCCGTTCGCGCTTGGGTCAGGTGATGTTAGAGTTTTGGTACTTTTTAGCTGCTTGCTACCTTTCCACCAACTTATTTTCGCAGGGGGTCTTGATCCAACAGCTTGACATCTCAGCTGTGTTGACTTTTCTGCAGAAAGCGGACGGTCTTTGTCTAGAATCTGCACAGCGATAGGTCTAACTATAAATTATAAAAGACGTCATAATGATTCTCATTGAATCTACGACAATAGGATTAACTTTTTTAACTTTCGTATTAAATAAGTATAACTAAAATATCAGGTTAATAATATATATTTTTTGGAAACATAGATTAACTTGAAGTGTAACTTGATCTGGTTTTCAACTAAAATTAGCTGATCATAAGAAGGTAAGAAATTACGTAGTGTGAGCTATTGATTTATTGTTTGAATGTATCTACAGTTTCTCACAATCTATTACAGTAAAATTTGTAACAAAACCAATTCAGATAATAAGACCATTTAGATTATTAGAGTTTAATAATGTTACTTAAGAAATGATGTAATATCTTGAAAAGTAATGTTCCTTCTCTATAATACAATAACAATAACTCGTAACTTCCTATTGCAAATATATATATATATATATAATTCTTATGCACGCTACATCAGCACCTTTATTCAACAACTATATGACGTTTTTTGACTATTTAATGGTATTGTATGACAATATCTTTAAACAATCACTTTTCGTAAGAGAATTTGTAACTTAAGCTTCATTTTATTCTTAATAAATTGGCAAAAAGACACACTGTAAAAATGTTATTGGAATTTTTAGTTCACTAAAGTGTTCGAAATAAGAAATTGTCAGTCATTTGTAAAACATAATTTTAGCTTATATCTCTGAAAAATAAAACTTTCAAACGTTTTTCTCTTTCAAAAATACTCTAACGTTTATGTTTATGTTTGTTTTGTTTTGTTTTT